CTGGCTAATAGAATTTCAATATATAAGGCAGCTAAAGAGATTTTTTCACTCTGGTTACTTCTCTAAACTGCTCATCAGAATTTTATTTTGTTTTTGTTTTTTTTTTTTACTTGAGAAGAGTTGACATACAATGTTACATTATATTAGTTTCAGGTGTACAAGATAGGGATTCAACAACTCTACATGTTATGCTGTGGCTATCACAAGTGTAGCTATCTTCTGTCACCGTACAATGCCATTTATATTCCCTGTGCTGTACATCAGAATTTTGAGTTGCATATTTAGTTACAAACCATAAACTCCAGCAACCCTCCTTGTGTGTGTTGCTTGCATTAATACCCTGTTTAGATATGATGGTGATGTAAATTTTTACATGAGCACTTGTCACACACATATTCAGAGATGCAGAAATGGCGTTGAATTAATGTTTGGCTACTTGACTTCTCAGCCTTCTAGTAGCGGAGTATAAAGCTGAGATAGAACAGCAGATTTTGGCCAAACATGAAACAGCAGTAGAACCTTCTTTCACCCCAGTTTCTCAAGTTTAGTCATTCCTTGGATGGGGCCCAATACAGGACAGTCATTGGAGTGACAGCCTCCCAATTCTCTTCATCTCTGGTGACCAAAGTGTGGAACATGGCATCTGAGAGAGTCTTAGAGCAAGGTTCATTTTGATACAGGGCATTATTACCTGAGTGGGTGGGTTTTCACCCTGATTTACCTGCTTAGTTTCCCCATAACCTTAGTCTTCTTTGTTGATAGACACTAATCAGTGAAGGTGGTTCTCTTAGCTTAGTTGATATGCATGGCTTTCATTAGAAGGGGATGAGAACCTGAGTGAGTTTTTGGCTAGTGGCTCCCAGGCTTCATATTTACCTTCATGATGCAACTATAGCATCATTTGATATGAGTTCCGCTAAAGCTGGAATTGGAATAATAAAAAGCGTTTACATTTTGGCTCCACTACTCAATTTGCACTACTCTGAAACTGAATAATCTGCAAATTTAAACTTGAACATAGAAATAGATTTACTTTTGCTTTTATGACCCTGTGATTTTATTGTCTACTGCAAAACAGAAGCAAATAATACAGCGCATCAGTGCAAAGCATGAGAAGGGGATTGGGGACCCAATTGATTAAAAATGCTAAGAGCTGGTGTGCGTCTTCTCTCTGGGATCACTGGCAGGTTGGATGGAGGCAAAATTCAATATTCAACTGTCAACTGTTTCTTAGATTACAGACAATATTTGTGTTGTGTACTCTGATGAAGGAATGCCTCTTGCTGTCTCATACCTCTGGAGCAGCTTCCCTGCCTCAGATAACTTGCTTCCTTTTTCTTCCTCCCAGGGTGCAATTATCAGAGCAGGAAATCCTTCCTGGAACCTGGAGGGTGACCCCTGGAGGGTCCTCTTTCTGAGCAACCACAGCTGTCTGTGCACATCTGTAGCAGTGCTGGTCACATCCTCCTGCCTTCAGGAGTAGTGACTTGCTTGTTGGTTGCCCACCTCTTGAGCATATTTTCTGAAGACAGGTCTGGGTTTTAATTTAATTTTTAAAAGATATTATATTTATTTATTCATGAGACACACACACACACACACACACACACAGAGAGAGAGAGAGAGAGAGAGAGAGGCAGAGACATAGGCAGAGGGAGAAGCAGGCTCCCTGCAGGGAGTCTGATGCAGAACTTGATCCTTTACCCTGGGATCACCCTGAGCCAAAGGCAGATGCTCAACCACTGAGCCACCCAGGTGTCCCTTAATTTAATTTGTATCCCAAGTACTGAACACAGTGTTAGGTGAGAACTCTGTAAAAATCATAATGACTACTTCTGCTATGACTACTGTTATTACTGCTGGCAGTGCTATTCCTACCACTGTTGTTGCTGTGGCTGCTCCTGCAGCCAGTGTTGCTGGTGAGCTAGTGGCACTCTCTTAGGCCTGGGAAGTGCACATACCTCACACTGTGATCCCTTTTTGGCCACCTTCCAGAGAGGGGCATGGCAAGGGATGATGGGGAGGCATGGCAAGGGATGATGGGGAGGCATTGTGGATGGAGGGAAAGATTTGAGAGTTCATGATAGGAAAACCATTCCCATATTGCAAATGGTGATATGATTCTTACAAATTTGCTATAGCTCTTGGATTTTTAAAAATATTTTGTACACATGTGACACTTTCATTTTCTGTTGAATATTCCTGGGCACCTGGATGGATCAGTCGGTTGGGCATCTGCCTTTGGCTCGGGTCATAATTTCAGGGTCCTGGGATCTAGCCCCATATCGGCCTTCCTGCTCATCGGGAAGTCTGTTTCTCCTTCTCCCTCTGACCCTCCTCCCCACTTGTGCTCTCTCAGTCTGTCTCTGAGATAAATAAATAAAACCTTAAAACAAAATAGTTTTCCCACTAAAGATATGATTGCTCCGACCATGGTGATGCTGTAGGAGATGTAAATTTGAGTCCATCTAAGACACATTTCGTTAATAATTAAGCAAATATTTATTAACCTAATGAACTTGAACAAGTCTCTTGGCCTGAGCTTCAGTTTCATTAGAAGTTTATGATAATGTAACTCGTCTTAGTTTTTTTGAGGATGAAAAGAGGAAACCAATGTGAAAGGGATAAGCTGTCAGACTCTAGACAAAATGAGGTGTTATTATTATATGGCTGTGGCCAAATTTTCCTCTGAATTTCCAGTAGTATTTTGTACTGAATGGCAAGTTTAGCTTGGTTTGGAGGTGAGAGCTATGGTCTAGTTGGAAGTACTAGACATGAGATTAAAAAAAACTCAAAAACCGAAAACTGGGAGCAAAGCCATTCCCTGCCACTTCACTAGTTATGTGACCCATGATAAGTTCCTGAAAAAAGAATCTTAAAGCTATTTAGCTCCAAGGTCATTCACTGTGAGGATGAAGTGGAAAAATATCTATAAAGGCACCAGGTACATTGCAAGTGCTTGGCTGTTGTTCACAAAGCATTCCTTCCAGGCAGAGAAAGGTAAAGGTGAGTCAGAAGGGTTCTGAATGGGCAACATACAGTGGTAAAAGTGTAACTCAGACTGTTGTGAGCTGAGTAAGTCTTGTAATGACCATAATTCCATTTCCTCTGATATGAACAATAATAGTTTCCTTAATTATCTCTTAGGGTTATTGTAAAAATTAAAGTGGTAAAATATCACTAGATCTGTAATAGGGGCTCAAAAATTTAGTTTAGTCATGCCTATGATAATTCTCCTTATTTTCAAAGATAAGTCTTGAGCCATGTCTAATTATATGTTGACGGGATATGGTGTCCATCGTTACTCTTTTGACAAAATGTAGGCAAGTCACCATGCAACTTGATTGTCTCCATTTCAGGCCATCTTTTGGGTGATGAAACATTGATAAGAATTAATGAAGACGGAGGAGGAGAGGAAAGAGGCACAGCTGGTGAGAAATGGAATGATGATGTCAGAGCAAGAAGTGACACAAATTCTAGTAACTTACTGTTATTTTTTTAAGTGAGCTCCATGCAGGGCTTTTGAACTCATGATCTTGGGATCAAGACCTGAGCTGAGATCAAGAGTCAGATGCTAATCAACTGAACCATCCGGGTGCCCCACAAATTCTAGCAACTTTGATAAGATGAAGGCTTTCTTCCTGCCCCCCCCCCGCCCCCCCGTCCTTTCTGTGGAAACTCTTATAAAGAGGAAGCCAACCAAAGAGCACTGGAAATAGCAACATGTGGTGTGGAGAGTCCCAGAGGCCCCCCAGGCCTCCTCAGCCTGGGACATTGACTCAGCGTGTTCATTTCTACAGTGAAGTTGGGGCTGTGTAATAATGACATGTATTGAAATTGTACTGTGTGTGCCCCCTGGACATTTTCGGTGAATTCTCAAAAACAATCTCTGAGGCTGGTTGTGGACCTGGGATGTTCCCCAGTTCTGGAGTTAGTAGGTGGCAGAGCCAGGATTTGAACCCAAGTACTCCACCTTACCTTCCTCTTTCAGCTCTAAGCTTCTGTACTGTGGTAGCCAAAGATGTCTGAGCAAGCCGGTCTGTGTGGAGGCACCACTCAGAAGTGGTTTATGTTAGCAGTTTGTTTTATTGGTCCTTCTAAAGGTAGAGCTGGGGAATAAGATCTTTTCCTCATGACAGGGCAGGGAGTAAACAGAGTTGGTTTCTGACAGGTTTTTAAATAGAGAAGAATGTAAATATTGGGTTATAGAATAGTAACAGGGCTTCTTCCATTGGAGGGGCAAGCAGCCTGCGAACTGGCCTGGAAGAGTGAGGCAATAAGGAGCCCTGGTGTTTCTGATGCTAAAGGAGTGGGGATCCTTTCTCAAGGGTCAATGTACTGAACTGTGCCCAGCCAGTACTGCTAAGAGGTCAGACCAAACGAGAGCCAAAAAGGCCCATGGGATTTACCAGTTAGAAGGCAGATGGCTTTGCCAGTGTTTGAAATCACATCACTCATCTCATTCTGTTTCTATTTGAAAGGATTTTCCCCAGGCGTTGTTCTTTAATTTTGTCCCCAGTTTTGGGGAGTGTGCCTTCTTTTGGGCGACTCTGTGCATCCCCTACTTCATACAGCTCATGTAAAGTGCCTTGTCACTGAACCTAGCCCCCTGACTGTTAAATCGCCAAAAGATACAGTTCTGCTGCAGCTGCATAGCTCAGCTGTCTCTGAAAGACCCTCCAGATCTTTTCTGGACCTGGATATTGAAGTCCATCAACAAATCTGCAGTTATAATCATCATTTTTGCCATCAGACATATTTTAGCTGCATCTGAGAGCTAATGTATTTTTTCTTAAACTTTTTTTTATTATGAAATATTCCAGTCATGCATTTTGATGGCTGGAAGAGTGAATTAACAGTAGTCTAATCACCCTGGAGACACAGATGCTTTTGTGAGCTGGCACTGAGGTAAGGCTGCACATCTCGGTGGGAATGACAAGTGAATGAGTCTGCCACTCACTTAACCTGCTGTTCTTTTCTCTCTCTATTTTCTCTCCTAGGAAACAGATGGAAGACTGCTGTGACCCCGCCCATCTATTTGCTATGACTAAATTGAATTCCCCCATGGGGAAGAGCATGTGGTATGATGGGGAGTTTTTATACTCATTCACCATTGACAATTCAACTTATTCTCTCTTCCCCCAGGTTAGTATAGTTTGTTGTTGCCTTTCAATATACTTTCTTATATGTCTTAATACCATAGGGAAAAGATAATTGAGTTTGCCTAACTAATCAGAACTCTTTTTTTTTCATCTCCTTTCTTCTTTTCTTCATTATAAATGTTTTTTTGTGGTAGCTTTCTCCATTTTTGGTGAAGAAATCACATAACATTTCCATGCAAGGGCAGAATTAGGCTGCTGTTACAGAGTAATTGTTTTCCTAGTTCTTCTGATTTGAGTCATAAAAGACTAAAGGAAGCAAGCAGAGAAGGAAGCAAGGCCAGGAATTGTGGAATTCTAGTGTTTCAAGGTTGGCTGTGGAATGATCTTGCCTATTTGCAACACTGGAATGTTTTCTTAGAACTGGTCTTGCTCTCGAGGACTGGGGACCATATGGTCCAAAGTTTGCTTCTTAGAGCTGTTGGATCTTAACCTTGTGGTTAGACACTGTTCTGAAGTGGAGGAGTAGAGGATATGGAGTGAAAGAATTCCACCACTTTTGAAGTGGTCTAAATCAAGCCTTATTTACTTTTTTCTTCTTGGTTTCCTGAGCATTGAAATCAAATGTTTAACTAAAATATATGCAGCAAAAAGGAAAAATAGAGAAATTGTTATTTCTAAGGAGCCCTAGTTGGAAAGAGGTTGGTTCTTACGTGAAATTACCTTAGGGAGAAGTTGAGGAATGAAGCTTGGCCTCTCCAAGTCTTCTAGACACTTTTGGCTTGGCCAGATGATTATGCAGAAAGAGAATTCACAGTTAGAGTTGGAAAATAGAGCTGAACCTTTCATGTATCTATATTAATAGCAATGAGTCTTCAAAGGAGAGATCCTATAAAGCAGAGGCACAGGCTTTACCAGATCCAAAGACACCCTCTAATAGCCCATCTTTGCTAGTTCATCTGTAGATGTTTTAGTTGAACTTAATGTCCTTAGTGTGTAATGATAAGTTAAAAAATTTTTTTTTTAATTTTTAAAGTAGGAAAATAGAAGGTTGAATTCATGGCCATCATCCATGTGTTTTCCTCTCTTCTTCATTTGCTCTTGAGAAGCTTCTCAGTGTCAACAGGAATGACTAGAGTAATAAAATGTGAGATTGAATTTCTTCCTATTTCTTACGAACTAAATGCCTTGCTAAGTCACCTAAGTCTTCTGAAACTCAGCTTTTTCATCCATACAGTGGAGAGAATAGTACCTGTCCTCCCACCTCACAGAGTTGTGGTCAGGATCAATGTAGATAATGCATGCCCATGTACTCTGAAACCACAAAGCATCATGTAAATGTCCTGGTTCATATATTGCATCTCTGGGTTGAGGAATGAAGGATATAATTGCATTAGTCAGGGTTTAAGGTAGAGAGCAGAAATCTTTCTAGGTATTTTTAGCAGAAAAATATTTCTCATGGGAAATTAGGTACTTAAAAAAGCATTAGAAGAATGGAGAAGTGAGAGTCAAGAGGTGGCTCCTGGAATTACTCAGTTCAAGAATTTACTGCCATACTGTGGTAAAGAGATTAGAAAGCCCCGGCTGCGATTGCCATTAACATGGTCACCATTGTCTGCAACAGAAACAGGGCCAGGAAGATGGGTTCTAATTCATCTTCTCCTTCCACATTTCCCTCAAGCGCATCCAATGGGTAAGGTTAATATGCATCTGGAACATTAGTTGCAGAGAAGTTCAAGAGAGGCAATTTTTAAAACAATCAAGCTTTAGCAGGAAGCTAGAAAAAAGATGGAATAGAGGGTGAACAAGCCAATCCACAGTATCCTTTATGTACAAAACCTGATATCAAGTTGCTATGAAGTGAAGAAGAGATAAGGAAGCAATCTTCTTTAAAGCTCATCAAATAGAAAAACTTTAAAAGAAATTCAAAATAGTCTTTTTATACACGAGGGCTTTCAGTCATCCCAACTGACTTCTAACTTTGTGCTAGCAAATAGATTTGAAGAAAAGAGATGATTAAGGAAGTGCAAACTAGCCTCCCATCTTATCTGTCTGTTGCAGCAGTAAGATAGCAGGAAACATTTCCTTTTTAAAGTGTGTGCACGTGAATTCTGTGCTGCTTTGTGCTGGTTGCAAGACCAAGGAACCATCGTTGAATAATAAGGCAAATGCCTTTTCTTAGGAAGCAGAAGTCATTACATCATTGTGTGTGTGCACAGTCATGACAAAGGACTAAGTCAATTCAGCAAATAGATTTTTTTTAAAGTGATGCATGTATTTTTCTACTGAGATTCTGAAATGACTAATTTATAGAAATCCTGGAAAATCAGTTTGCAACAATAAAAAAGATGGTATATATCACCTTGCCTTCTTCACTCCATTATTATGCCTTAGTGAAATATTCCTACTTTGGTATCAGGAAGCTGAGTTACCAGTTAATTCATCTGCTTCATTCTTATTCCTGTGGGAAGAAAGTTGTGTGTGTTAGGCAGAAATGCAGCTGAGCAGGCTAGGCTCAATGTTGTTGGTTGAATGAAGCATCCCTTCTTTCCCTGAATTTCAGCAAAGTGATGCCAAATCACTTACTCTCTAACTCAGATGTGTAATTCCACATCACTTTTTAAATTATATACTTTAATATATTAATTTAAATTTTACTACACTTTTCCCCTAAATGCTCAATATGTTAGCTATCATCATTATTGTTACTCCATTGCCTTCCTTTAGCCACTGTTTTTTTTTTTTTCTTGCTTCTGTGGTTGTTGCCGAGATACAATACAAGATCTTCTGTGTATTGTGCAGTTAGCAGGTCCTGAATCAAGGCTAGAGGGTCCAAGGTGGATGCTAATAGAGAGCCAGTGTGCTTTGAGATGCCACATAAAATCTCCTTAATTACAATTTTTCCTTCCTTCCTTTCAATTAGTTGTTTCTTATTTGGAACTCCCCAACTTCCTATAGTGTTATTATCAAATTTTTTCAATTCTACTTCATATACAGTTATCTGTATAACTACATATCTACATATTACAGTTTTCTGAAAGTCCTTATCTGCTGATCTCAATACCATCTTGTAAGCTTTTGAGGAACAAGAGTATTTTTTCAGTATCGAGCCTGGTGCCAATTTCCCACTTGAGAGAGATATTCCTTTCCAGCTGCTCATGTTTGCATAGGCCTCCTTGTCTTTGTCCTGCCTGGGATGCCCTTGCTTGAACAATTGGAGACTAAGCAGGACATTTTGATGCAGCTACTTCCAAATGGCTCAATAAATATATTTTGGTGAAGTATTGGTTGAATATTATTAGGCTTAAAGGGCTGAATTTTAACTCTTACATAGATTTTTCTAGAATATACAGTATGTATGTGTATGCGTGCGTGCGTGTGTGTGTGGGGGTGTGTGTGTGTTTGGAGGGGACATTGTGATGGTGTTTCCACTTTGAGAGTACTCCCATCCCCTGGGACCCCACTTCCTTCCTGCTTTGCCAAAGACTGTCCCTTTTAAGCATGCATGGTCCCATCTGTATAGATATTACCTAAATAAATACTATTTTGACCTAAAATGTATTCATGCCCAGAAAGAGCATAAATTTCCTTGGAAATGAGTGAGGGAGCAGCAGGAATGTTAGAAACCACAACTGTGCAGTTATAATCTGAAAAATATTTCCTTTTGGTGTAATAAAAACACGGTCAGCTCACCATTCTTTTATAGTGTGCTGAATAGTCATGTGATATAAATCATAAACCAGACTAGCCATTTTTTTCTCAGAATATCCACCCAAAGCCATTTGCAAAGAATCACAAAGCATCATTAATGCACCCCAGACACACTCATTCCCAGCTCCTCTGGTTGCTATAAGCTCTCTGACGCGTTCCACTTGGCCTGGACCCGTATTGCCCTTGGCCTGTGGGAAGCCCAGCAGGACATTCTGAAGTAGTTTTGTTTAAATGGCTGTATTAAAATGAAAATACACACTTTTTTTTTCCTTCACAGTCATCTGCTTAATAGAATCATCTGAGCCCCTGGATATCCCTGAGTCTCACAGCAATTTTTTTCCTGCTAATGAAATTTGGATTATATTATATAATCTACAGCATTTGGTAACTTGTTTTTTACTTATCAATATTGTTGTGATCAGTTTTCTAAACACCTTTATGTGTTTATTTAGGGGGCTGATGTTTGGTGGGCATAGATCTTTATCATGTGGTAAAGGCTTATGTGGTCAGGCTTAGTTTGCCTCCTTTATAACAGAAACTTGACACAGAGGCTTAATGGAGTAGATGCTTATTTATCTCCAAAAATAAAGTATTAGCAGGTGGGTAGTTGAGGGTCAGATGATGGCTATATTGTGCCATCAAACTCCCAGGCTCCTACCTTGATGTTTGAATAGCCTTAGTTGATGGCCAAAGGACCTTCTAGTTTTGGTCCAGGATCCCAGTAGGAGGAAGGAGGAAAGAGAAGAGGAAATATAGACATATTCTGCTGAGGTGTCAGTGATCAGGATTAAATCACATGGCCAGGTCTAGCTGCAAGAGAAGCTGGTAATTTCAGTATTTCAGCTGTAGAAAATGCACTGCGTGTGTTAGCCTATCTTATCTGCCTCAGATTCTTCTCATATTATCTCATGCTATGGTTACAGCAACTCCATATGGACATTCTTGTCTTCATGGATGAAATAGACTGAGAATGGTTAATAAACTTACTCAAGGTTCCAGAGCTGGCAGGGGAGGGGCTGGGATCTATATCCTGGACTGTCTGATTTCAAAGCTTCCATTGTTTATTGTCTTGCTTGTTTTTTATTTTTTTAAAAAGACATTGGTTCTAGTGGATTAATTGTTCATTCTTATCACTCAGTCACCTTGAAACCATTTAAAGGTATTTCACTTCCATTTTATGAATATTCTTAGAAGAAATGGAGAAATTTCTCTTGCAGATATATTTTTTTTCTTTTGCAGATATTTAGGAGAAAAATAATAAAGTGTAGATATGCAGGCTCTAAGATCCTGTACAGTACTGTAGCTTCCCTTTGAAACTAGTTTTCAGTATGGCCC